TCAAGAACCGTTGATAGTGTTACTAATTATACGACCACCACTGTAAGTACTTCAACAATATTGATTAAGTGGAAAAATCATAATATACGAGTAAATCACATTGCGCTGCTCATACTATTTATTTATATTGGCTTAAGCCCTCTGTCTAATTTTTAGCAAACAAAGTAGACAACATCATTTTAGCCCGGGGATATATTTACTCAACATTTTGTAACAACGCGGTAAACGTTCAGCAGATACAATTTTTCTTTGTCAATATGGCAAAGTATATTTCCCTGACAACATAAGTCTACTTCGTTTTTTCATTTTTCTCTGTGTGACAATAATTCGCATTAAATTAGCGTATTACCGAGACGAATTACTCAAAAATGCAGAAATACAGCGTCATGCGCGACTTATTTCATAGACGGATATATACGATTTTAAACGGTTAATTTACAAAAGCTGGTATAGCAGGCGTCTTTAAGCTATTGTGGCCGCTTAATATCCCTCTATGGAGCATGACCACCAAAACACGATACGGCAAAGCGATTTATCAACGTTGTCCCTCAAACTACAATTGAGTTTGACATTTGAGCATGGATAAAAGTCTTTGTTTTAACATATCGCGCAGCTCATGCTACGGAGGCAGGAGGACATTATGCTTATTTGTATCCAATACAACATGGAAATTATCAAAAGCTTTGATACAATATGTGTTAATTATCTTATTTTAAACATATTGCATAAAGAAGGCTATATTTGGAACCGTGGTATTAACAAACAATCGGCATAACAGTGGTCATCACTTTCACTTTGAAGACATCATTGTGACGTCAAGCGCATAACTAACTGAGTCTGCACAGCATAATATAATAGCAGCGAAACGTTGATCTTATTGTTATAAGCAAAAGGGTCAAACTTTAACGGGAAAGTTAAATGAGAAGGCGGCAAGGTCGCCCGAGCTCCGTCTAAGAAGGTCAGTCCAGTCAGCCTCTGATCACGTATTGTATGGACAAATGATAGGGCCGTCATCTTTATAATTTTGAAACCCGGGTAAGGAGTAACTTAGAGGTATTATTTATTCAATACTTGCTGGTGGCTGGTATTACGTAGAAGAAAGTTAATCTACATTCCTAAGAGGCACACATTTTTGTTTACTATTTTGCGACATAATGTAATGGTAAAGGCATTCTTGGAGAGCCCGTAATTTCATAAGGACGGTATTGCTTGAGCGAGTAAAAATCAACGCGTCGCGTCCTGTGAACGAGCCTTCCAGTATGTTTTTTTTTCAGTGTGTATGCTATTGGTCCAATGTGACCTTTACAGCGTCACCGGGTTTTCGGACGGCGAGATCCTAAGTGAACCTCAAGCCGAAAATTGGCGAGTGACTCTAGAGGTATTCAAGGTAGATGGCATTTCTCTCCGTCTGGAGCCTCTAGACCACTCGAACCTGAGGGGGTCGGCTCAACTAGAGGGCGTCTCTGAGACTCGGACCTTGTCTCTAGTTAGCCGTTGTTGTGAGGGTTCACACTTTGATTTTTACTCGGTTTAGAATTTATTCTATTCTTAACTTCTCTTTCTTAAACTTTCGAGTAATCACGTAGGTACCTATGTGAGTATGATGGACCATTGCACACCCACGAAGTCTAAAGAGGTTACAGCCCTACAAGTTCTTTTTTCCCCCGGCCGTTTCTTGACTATTTAGGCTTTTTGTGGCCAAGTGACGAAAGTGGACCAATTTGTTTGTTTTTTTTGGTCACCGTTCAGTTTTCGTGGATGACTCAGGCAAACGTAACGTTAAATAATAACATGGAAAATTTCGGTAACTGATCGTGGGCAGCAAGCAGTTTTTATCGCCATCTTATTTAGTTGCGGGTCATAAAGTTTTTCTGTAGACACCTTTTTGTCATATCGAAAACTTGGCTTAAATTAGTTACACAGATTGAGATTTGTGCTCGATTAGATTATCATAATAGCCTTCGTGAATTGCACAAATTTTATTCACGTAATAATGCTGTTTGAAATTGATTGAGCTGTCGGTGATGATGTGAAATAGAGTAATGCTTTACTCATATTTAATACTGAAACGACGACATGAATTCTTTATCTTTGTTTTTTTTAAAACGACATGAATTCTTTATTTTTTATTATATCGCCTCGTCGAGGCGAGGCGACCACGAGGCAGTCAAAGAGTAGTAACAGTAAAATCAAACTATGGTAGTAGTAGCAATAAACCGAAACAATTAAAAAAAAAATCATTCCAACAGATGACAGATTACTCAATCTCACCTGATGTTAAGTGACGGTGGAGTCCAGACGCGAAGATAGCTTGTACAGCAGTTCTACCTGCCACACTAGCGATCGTTACCTTGCCGGCCTGCTTATTGCTTCTTCACGCCTATATTTCATATTTGATCAAGCAAAAAGTGTTCCAAACAGCTCAAAAAATCGACACCGGCCGTCGCCGCGTCACCGCAGCAGCGGACCCCCTCAGGTTCGAGTGGTCTAGAGGCTCCAGACGGAGAGGAGACTCCCCCAGTGGGGAGATGCCATCCTTCTGGAATACATCTAGAGGCACTCGCGAATTCTCGGCTTGAGGTCCCCTTAGGATCTCGCCGTCTCCAAACCCGGTGACGCTGTAAAGGTCATCTACGACCAACAGCATACACATTCAAAAAAGAACAGCTGCGGTTAGCGCCGACGGTGCTCCGAAAGATGACTGTCACACGAGGACTATCATACGACTAACACCAAATCATAGTGACACTTAGGTAATCAATATCATATCCTCAATAATATGGTGGCACACAGCCCACGTTGCTACCATAGCAGACAAAGCAAATATTAAGGACGATATCGTTGAGGCAAGGTCCTAATGTGCTACTCTTCAGTGGAACACGACGTCTTTGGGCATTGAGGCAATATGCGTGAAAAAAGACACAAGTTGGTAAACAAGTTTCTTATTCATAGATTTCTACTACCTGAATTAATAAGTTTGCAGGCAAGAAGCGTATTCATTCTTTTTCAATCGCTGCCAATGTTACTATTTTCATTAAACTAACGATTTCCCAGTACAACTTTAAAGATTGAAATTCAATTTAATTTATTTCTACTAAGAGCCTCTATGACATCATTTTTTATTATTATGATTATGATGAAGAACAAGATAAAGAAACCAAAACAAATGACAATCGAAAGTAAACACAGTTTGTAAACAAATCCGGTGGTAACAATACGTAACTCGTTTTTCTATTTGCGGCTGTGAAATCAAACGTAGCTCGCAGGCCGGTTGGCTTAGCCTGGGTGGGTTGGAAAAGTGCCGTCACGCTGGTGCGGCTTTTCCGCTTTCTCGAGAAAACTATAGTCACAGCTGCGTAGGCTTAGTGCGAACAGCGTCGAAACACCAGGAAAAGGATTTACGGTTGTCAAAGAAAATAAACGTGAATGCGATTTCAATACAATCTCAAATATCTGATTTCCGCCGATTTTTAAATGATCATCAGACTATAAACTTAATTTACTCTTAAAGTTACCACACACTAAAGAAAATGTTGCTACAAATTAGCAGTTAAATGCTTAAGATAAAAATATAATTAAATAAATTACCTAACAATTTGAAAATTAAGTACGTTAGTAGCTTACAAGCGCTTAAGTTGGGTAGTATGTGGAATTGCAGTAAATAAAACATTACAATTAAAAAAGCAAAGCAAAAAAATATTCATTTCTTTCCCTGACTATATTTAAAAAGATAGTGACATTTTTAAAGAAAACAATGCAGCAGGATACCCTGCTGGCCTAAAATAATATAAAATACTTACCTACTAAGATATTGTTAAGGTATCAAATTATAATGAATTAGTATTGATATTAGTCCACCGAGAATAAATTATTTTGGTTTGCCTGTTATAAATCCCTAGTGTCCAACCCTAAAGCTGACATCGAAGCATCGCACGAAACATTGAAGAAAAGATCGGCAATAGGCAATAGCAGTACCTACTTAAATTTAATTACATAATAACTATAAAAATTTCCAAAAATTATAGTACAAACAATAAAATCTTAGCTCTGTCAAATAATAATTTATTATGTATATTCAAATTTTAAAGACTATGAAGCTAAGTTACTACTGTTTGAATGAAAACATAGTAGTGCCATCTAGCGGCAGATTATTTTTTATGTTCGTAGCGACATCTATTGTTTGCTTTTTAAACTAAACATTTCTAGTCTTAAAGAAAAGATGGCGCCCAAGGAGTAAATAATAGTAAAAACAATAATGTTTTTTAATTTATTATTTAAATGAATGGTAGTTAAAAATCAAATATGTATACATAATTATATAATTTTAACTCATAGCCCGGAAATATGATTGTTTACTACCTTTATGACAGAAAGAAACAACTAATTTATTTGATACCAAATAAACGTCAAAGTACCTAATTTTCATATTTTCTACTGTAAATGTAGTATGTTACCTTGAAAACCTAAGAAACAAATACATGTTATGACATAAATTATTTATAATACTTTATAACTATAAACTGGGCGGCGCTGGGGGTGATATGTTTTTTATTTTGTAATTAATTTATTTATGTAGGTAAGTAGGTTAAGCTATGTAGTTTTTAAGTTTGTGTTATTTTAATGTATTATCTTCCTATAAATAAATAAATTAATTATAAACTAACAATACAATAAGTAAGAAATAAAACCATTTGAAAAAGTGGCGTCCTCTTTTGACATATTAATGAAGCTAAAGTTTGCTACTCCACGCTAGGTGGCGCTGTTTTCAGTTCTATCTATCGAGCTTTAGTTATTTTAGTTTGACGGACAGAGGTGTTGCTAAATATAAGAATATATAAAACGCTTAAATAATCCTTTATACTTACCTGTCAATATTAGTCTTCCACAGGAATCTATGTTCATTTATTCATAGATCAAAAACTTTTATGTATGCAAAATTTTTGGCTCTTTTAACAGTATTAATGTAGATTGAAAAAAAATTTAAAAATATTTACTATTATTTACTCATTTCCATTCTTTAGACCTGGGCATAATGATTTTAGTTAGAATATTATCACATTATTACTTTAATAAGAAAGTACTGCATTCATTACAAGTACTGATATATATACATCTAAAAAAAAAACTTACTAATGTTACCTTAACCTTTCTCAAAGATATTTTACATTTCTGCGGGATTTTCCGCTCAATTCCGAATCATTGGAATGACCTTTGGCTTTCAATGAGGCTTAACGCTCTACAGCTGTCAGACGAACTCATAAAGAAATATTATATTTCGTTCCACCGAAAAAGGCGGAAGTGCGAGGAGAAACATTTGGATTTGACACAAAGCAGAAGAAACACCAAGAAGGTAGATAATCCAAAAAGCTTGCACTCACCTTCCATGACATACACTATGCTGCCGACATCTCCCTCCTTGATGATGAGGCTGCCGGCCGCGTACTCCACGGGGTACATGCAGTCCACGATCTCGCGGATCTGGGTCATCTCCAGATTCTTCATGAAGTCGTTGTCCAAGATGGCGCTCTTGATCAACTCCCGTGATCTGGAAATTGGTAAATGAGAATTGGTTAAAGCATTTTCCATAGAAGATATAGTACAAGACAAATGGACTGATGGGTACCCTTTTAATCTGATGGTAAATGAGAAACTGAATGGCTGGCGGTACTCAATTTACCAGCGTAAACCTTAGCACTAATGATGATAATATTAACATAATATTTAAATGCCTTTTTTCTCGTTTGTATTTAAGAATGTAACGTAGAGTAATCCCTGTAGATTTTATATCAGTAAGCAGGCCCCGCGGACCATTCACCTTAGAGAAGACCACAGCGAAATATAACTTTGGTGGTGTTAAGGTTCTGTTTGTCAGAAACGGTTGTCTAGGCTCCGCTGCGTAGGGAATGAGAAGTGAAGCTCTTTTATCACACTCACCTATATAGGCTATGGTCAGTGCCGTCTTTGACCTATTGGAGGCCCTGGGCATATTAGGATAATGAGGCCCCTATGACCCCCGTTTGGTGATCTAACAAGAACTAGGGACTTTGTATTTGTGATCTAAGGTGCCCACCTATCGATCATGGGGCCCTGGGCACTTGCCCAAAGTGCCCACTGGGAAAGACGGGTCTGGCTATGGTGTCTGTTTACTATTAGGCGGGCAATAAGTTCGTTTGTCATTTGCCTCTTTATATTAAAAAAACGAGTGTGCTTATGACCACACGACTGAAGTGAAACTTCTTTAGCTTCATCTGTATGTATACAGGGTTAATTTTAAAATACCAGTAACCTCGCAGTACTAGATAGCTAACATCATACAGAACAACGTTTGTTCTGCGAGTTTTGAAAATTCATAAGATTTTATTTTCATAGAAAAATAAATACAGCTAATGCAGCATAAAAATTTGCCGCTTCAGTCATATCTACCCCACCTCGCCGACATATACCCAATCCCCCTTATTTTTTATAGCTAGGTAGGCAAATGCATGTATGTGCAGGTATGCCTGATGTTAAGTGGTGGTAAAGTCTAGACGCGAAGATAGCTGGTGCAACAGTTATGAACTGCTTGCTACACCAACCATCCTCACCTTGCCGGCCTGCAGAAAACTCAGTGAAGTATTGGAATCTTATAGCAATTAAATAAGTAGTATAGTTACTATCTACGTCTCTGAGTAAAGTATTATGTTGCTGTTGTCTTCTATTAAATATTCTACACCCTAGATGGGCGCACCAATTCCGCTGAGCCCTACTTTTCTAAGACTTACAAAAATGTAGTAATGATACAACAAATCTACCTGTGTATATTCTTTCAATGCAAGATTATTTAAAGAGGTAAATTATTTTACAATTCGTATGCATGTGAAAAAATAAACAACCATGATAAGTATGGGTAGAATAAAAAGATGAACAAAGTTGTTTACGCAGAATGTTTAACTTCGCAAAATGAGCACTCGATTTTAAAGTACCTGTTTACTTTTTGTACGTGCGCTTTTTTACCCGACTGCGCAATGCAAGAGCGCAAAGCGCGACGCGCAGATAGGGTATTACTACCTTTAACAGTCTCGTATTTAACAGTCTATATATGTATGTTTGTTCCTTTGTGGCACACTAGTTTTCATTTTAAAGATTAAAATAAAATTTGTCACCTTTATAAACTGCTCAAGAAAAATTTACATTCAAAGGGGATTGTGAATGTCTAACTTTGATTTTGACCTCAGTGTTAAGTAGGTATATAGGAACATATAATTTATGAAAATGACATTTAATCCAATGTGTCTATAACAGTTTATTTATAGTCAGGGCAATTTCAATAATCACGCATAATAACACAATAACTAACCTTTAAATTATAGTAAATTAGGGTCATAAAATACTATTACAGCAGACAGTCTAAGATAGGAGCCGCTATAGGTATCCGAGTCGGATGGGTTTACAGGTTGTATATTATATTAACATTAGCGATATCTAGGAAAGTTTCATAATAAGTTCCTATTTTAAAATAACATGTACTGAATAAGATAAATTAAAATGCTTGTTTGAAATATATATAAATAGTTACTCCTTATTTTGATATTGTATCGAAAAAATAACCTTATTTTCAATCTAAAAATATTCCGTCCTTTTAAAAAAGTTGTTGGGCTTTTAGTTTGTTGGCGCCTCTTCTTTTTGATGGTATACTAAAGAATAACAACTACATTACCATGGAAAATTTTCTCATAAAATGCAAATGCGTCGTCATGATTCTCTATACCTAATCTATAGATACCCAATACTCTTATTAATAACCAGATAATTGAATAGATGATGACGCTTTACCGACCTCAAATCACACGTATAAAATATTATTCCTCTTTTTTTATGTGCACTCTTACTTGCGAAATGGGTTCAATAATTTTTGACTCCGGCCTATTGAGACACAACAGCGCGGAGGTTCGAATTCAATCTGATACCGGACTAATTAGAAGTTTCGTTGTATATATATATATATATGTATATATATATACCTATATCCTTATTAAAGTATTTGACATTGTTTGACATCTTGAAGAGTACGATATACCAACTAGAGGAAACACAATAGGTCCCGGTTGTATAGCAGCAGTGCCTTCACCCAAAAAGCTAAAGGCACTGCTTCGAATCCAGTCTTTTAACTCAGACTAAACAATTTATTTAGATATAGCTATTTATTTATGCCTTGAGATATAAAAAATCTGTAATCATAAAATTTAGCAAGTACAAGTCTGATTCGCCTACATAGAACTGCATATCATCGTACAAAGTTTAACGAAGGAAATAAAAAAACAAATGATCAATATGGTAGAACATAAAACCCATAAATGATCCCGTTTACATTAATTTTAAGATTTCTTGCAATTGTCTCCTATCAATCTAATGCGTCTACAAAACACTATCATTTGTCAATCGATCGAATAAAGTGAACAAACTAGAATCATAAAACATATACACACATGTCATGAAGGAATAAAAGCATTACATTGCTAATTGGTATGTTCACATCACGGCTTGAATGAAAAATTGTCGTTTAACAACTGGTAGATTAGTTACGTTACGGCATCTCATACTTTGATATGGTAAACAGTCATGAATATTGTCATCAATCGTGCAATGTCTGCAGCTATATCTTAAACTCTTGCTGATGTGACTGATATATATGTCACGACATATATATCTGGCGAGGACGCGAAGTTCGAACGTAATTATACCAAATGTGACTCTCGAAGGCATACTAGCTTGTCGACCTTAAACGGCATAGTACACGAATGCTGTTCAGAAGAAATTCAATCACATTGATTGATGTTTGGTTGTAACTTACATCACAGCTAACACTATTTAAGAGGCGATGGAATCCCTATTCGGCATTCGTTGGGTCGTTGGGAAATAAATCGTGGATTGTATGTTAAACATAACTTTATTGAATGTCACAGCTTTATACAGTGGAGTACTTTGTATTCTTTGTGCGTTGTATGAAACAAACGAGCTTTGAGTTTCATTACATGTCACACACAAAAATCGCGACCAACGTTTTAAGAACTATGTATGATCGAGTTCGTTGATAAAAATTAAGAAAGTTATAAATAAACACAAAAATTTACGTCAACCTAAATTGAAACATTCGTTATACATCAACTTTGATTTCTCTCACAGATATGTTATACTCACTTTTGTTTTTTCGGTATTTTCAACAGTTTCATTTCATGTTCCTGGGAAAGTGAAGAAAGTGGTTCAGCCGAGATCGCTGTCCGTTTAAGCCGCGGTTCACCCAACGGTAATATCCTGGTATTCTCCATACCAGGTGCCTTCATAACGAAACACTCGTCTTCCTCCAATCCATTCCTATGGTTTCCGATTATTTGTCTCGTCAAAGGTTTAACCACTTGTCTGAATTTATCAATCTCGTTCTTTAAATATCTTATCGTTGCATCTTTTTCATCAATCTCGTTTTCTAAGAGGGCTATTATTTGATCTCTTCTTTTTAATTCCTCCGTTTTCTCTATAACCATTCTCTTCAGTTCAAGATATTTCTTTTCTAGTTTGTAATTGTGGTCCATGTTACATGCTTGCGCCATTTTAATTTAATCGATTAGCACTTTTCAGTTTTTAAAAGTCACACCAACATTTTGTTATCACCTTTAAGTCTTTAGCGCTTTTCCAAACTACTGTAAGACGTTAATAACCAATAATGAAAATGTTTCACTTCTCAACTCGTATCGCTGATAAAAGATAAAACATTATTGCCAGCGCCATAAAGTCATAAGTGGCTTTTATTTTTGCGACGTTTTTAATAGTATAAACATTATTTTGATGAGTGTTGTCATTCAAATATGAGCCCAGTGTTTGTTCTTATACTTAGAAATAAACCAATTGACATTATAACTACCGATTGTCCTCAAAGAGTGATCAAAGTTAAATGACGATGGTTGAATCATAAATCAATTAATAGCGACATACACCACACACGTCACATTTAATAATTGAGTTGCAATTATTCATAGTGCCAATGTCGGTAAAAGAAAACATTTTGTAAGGTTTCAAAGTCGAGAGCTTATTTGAATATTATAGTATGTTTTTCATTAACTTATATTAACACCTACCTAAAAATGTAGTTTGAATCTATTAGCTTCAATATTTTTGTTTTACGTAGTTATCGTCTATGAAAATATCAGGTTGTGTTAACCATATTATGTTTATCACGAAGCAAAAGCACAAACCTCACACAAAATTGCAATTCTGTGCCTGTATAAAATAAACTAAAAACCAACTTACAAATTACATGTGAATAAATCACAGTGCTGTGAGTTAAGGTGAACTACTAGTTTGTTAGGATCAAAATAATAACGCCGAATAAATGCTACTGAAACGCGCTTTTGAATAAATTCTTAACTGGCTGAACAGAAATATTTAAAAATAAACAAAATAATGCAAGCAATAACGGAAGACTAATTACATGCAAAAGGTGATAATATTTCTTTCTGAACGATCCGAACGTTTTTATTGGCTTGTTGAAAACTTATAAATATGCAATTACCAAATAAATATAACAGTGATAACTATCATTAAACATTAATGTTCGGTAGTTATTGGCAAAAATATAATTGCTTATTGCCAAATATTTATATCTTGCTCGAAGCAAGGACTATTTCGTAATATTAAAATTTGCATTTTATAAAGTAGCTTTGAGGGCTATCCACGACATAAAATATTTTAAGCAAACTCTTGTATTAACCTTAATTTAGCTTAGTATATTATAACTACGTACTTACGTATGTAATTTAAATAAGAATGACAAGCATTTGGAGTGTGCCTTCAATATTTAGTAGGTTTTGGTACTGAATGCATTTAACTACGCACCATGTAATACCAGTGAGTTAAAATTATTCACCAAATAACTACTAATTTGTAACTTAAGCCTAAAATATGTTTTGTCAATAATTTCCTAAGACGAGAAAGCGCCTAAAAGGTATTTGAAGAGCTAACAACATAATAATAAAAAGCGTGTTAATTAAGAGCAAATTATCTTAAGTATTCATATTTTTTTTCAGATAAAGAATTTCAAATAGAGGTTTAGACCGATTCTATCCTTTTTTATATCTTTTGCATGAATAAAAAAGTATAGGTACCGACTACTTTTGTTTCATATAATATTTACAATCAGCCTCAGCTATAACATTTTTTTCTACTGTCTGACGGATCAAATTTTGATATTTGATATCGTTGTATTAGTTTTAAATATCTTTTTATAATAGTTTTTATATTCTGGAGAGCAGTCTATAGAGGCCTCGACACACATAAGGGCACATCTAAAGTAGGTTGTATCGTCAATGGATATCTCATTTAAATTTTCCATCGCAATATATTCTTCAAACGCTTGTACATAAATACCGATTTTACATTGAATTTATACATATCATTGTAATCCAACAGTGCTGATATTACAAACGTGAAACTCCATTTACGGTTACAGACTGTAACGACATCGTTTACAATGTTGGAGCTAATTATCATTTGAACAACGAAACATATATGTAGCCAAAGAATGTTACAGTGACACCATAAGTTCAGTTGCTAGGCGTGGGTGAAATTGTTTTAAAGGTCAATCAACTATCATGAAATGCCTTTCTAACAACTGAACGGAAGGTCACACAAGATAAATGAAGGCGTGAAGATATTTAAGTTCACCTGCTGTATTTAGCGGCTCGAAGATTGATTGACGGAGATAAATTTTAAAAATATTAAATCGTTCATTAGTACGATATTTCTTTTCGTCCAAGTTTAAAACGGTGTGCCGATACGTCATTCAGATAGCGAAACAATTTGTCATGGATAGATAAGAAATATATAATGATAGTAACCACTCTACATCGGCCAATATTAAAGATGAAAATGAAATTCTATTTTAATAACAAAGGCATTAAAGTGTGCACCAGTTTTAGTCTGTCTATTTATTTAGCTACACATTCTCTCTATAAAATAAACAACGCAACATTGAATGGTAATATAAATGAAGACATAATATTATTATTTAAGTCGGTATTATGTATCATACCTAAAATCTAAACGACCGCATACATTTTAAGTAACTACCACTAACAACGTCGTTAGATACACTCAAAATTCGACATAAACATTCAGCAATTAGCATATATGTTACAGAGAACTATTTTGACCTAGACCCGAATCCCCTTTGATTTTGGACGAGAGCCCAAAATGCTAGTCATGTAACATTAGACCTTATCTCACGTACAATTTTTTTTAACCATTATTCATGCAAACTGTAAACATCATGGCTTATGAACTCTTTCTATTTTGTTATTTGAAAATACATAACGTCCAATTAAAATTAACAAATTATAATAAATTTTGGAAGCACTTTTTTAACATTGCGCACACGACTTTATTCTTTGGTAATACAAGAGGCACTTTTCGAGCTTATTAGATACACTGAGATAGAATAAGAAAATTATGGATATCTAATTAATAAACCTGAAATTGTATCTTTATTCAAGATAATCCAGTCAAATTATTTCATAAATACCAATCTAAAGAATATTTTACTAGAAAATGCTTGAATAAAATCCGTTATTACACATATTTTTACTAATCTACATTTTATCATACAAATGTTATTTTACAATATAAATTATTTACTGAAACTTTAAACGATGGCGGTTCGTGTGACTTAATAAAGATATAATTTATTTAATAATTAATGAACCTAGAAGAACATACGTCTCATTAGTCACAGATGCAGTAATTAATGCGCTTAAAATAAATAAATACACATATTGTGATTTGTGAGAGGTATATATTTAATAAGCGTGAACTAAATTTAAACTTCTAATTTGATATTAAAAGCCGAACGAATATTTTGAATTTTATTACATACCGATATCATAACAATAAAGTTATTAATGCGACAAAAATAAATTTTGCTGATAAGCTAAAGATAAAAATAGTACATCATTTTTAATCTTTAAGCATTTGACAAGGTTTGTTTATCGGTAACATAGTACCTATCTCATATAGGAAATCGGTATTACTAAGACCCTATTTAAACAATAATACTTGTACTACTTTTCATCACATCGAGACCCTTGGTTATCAAGATTTAAGCATGTTAATATTGTTGCTCAGCTTATCTACCCTAGCTAAGCAAATTCCAGAGTTAAATTATAATCTTGTTAGACTGATATGATATTAAGATAGAAGAATAGAAACTGATAGATTTTATAATACGAAATATTAACTAATGTTTTAGTAAGCTTATCGCCAACAGCAAAGACATAATAGGTGGGTATATGATAAATTTTTGACAAGTGTTATGGCAAAGAGATTTTGATATGCAAAATTTTTGGTATAATCTGATGTCCAGATTATCTTGCATTATCGCCACTCTGACGTCACACATTTAAGCCTCTTCAGGGAAACTTGACAGATCTATTTATGATGCTGACATTATCATGACAGGAGCGGCACGGCCAAAACCATTAGCGGCAACATTATTAGATATTTACTGTAGTTCCTCATGAGGATTCCAAAAATGAGTTAGATTTACCCAGATTATTTTTCTTGTGACATAATTAGTCTTTAGTACTGTAATATCAAAAAATGGTACATTCAATTAAGAATCTGATAAAACGGGTGATGTAATTTTACATAGTATGTTTTCTATAAGGAGACATACTATATCCATAGTAAGCACTAAGCACAATGTATATGATATCGCGGATGCTTTTATTATAAAATATAACAAATACTATTTTCCAAAAACTTTTCCTATTACTACGATTTCAAAATATCAAGCTGTTTTAGTTTCAATACTTTGGCGTTGCCAATATGTCCATTAAGCATTTTGAGTATAATTTGTACAATCCAGAAGTCAACTAAAAGTGAAACACGTGGATGGTAAGATGAAGCCAAAAATAGTAAATACGTTCATGCATCGTTAGTCATATTATATTTCGAAGGAGTGTTCCAAAGAAAACAGAAAACGCAAGAAACTTCCTAGATTTATTGAAGTAAAGTAAATATTACTATTAACTGACGTTAGCATCTCTGGCTCGTATTCGAGAAAAGTATTTGAGAGTCTTGAAAATAAACATTGATAATGATATGTTTGGTCGTAAATTTTATTTTACTTGGATTGATTTCCCAAATTCGTTTATGTCACAGAGGAAAATTGATTAAATTCGTCTACTTTTTAGTAAGCGAACCTACTGCGATTAAACTTAAAGTCATTTGGGTGTATTTTTTTCTTTTTAGGTCACTATGTCTTACTATGACTTGAAGGTTTTGCATAATGTAAAAAAATGAAAGTTCCCAATAAGGAATTTTAATGAAAAGGAACAAAGGATCGACAATTATGGACCGAAAAAATAAGTGACATCGAATATCACCACCAGTCTATTTCTCTGCCCAACGAACCTTGACACATATCTGTTGATGTCGCGATTGTAAATGAGTCGAATTTACAGGTGAATGCCACTAACGAAAAAATAGCAAAAGACATTAAAAGAAAGCTATTTATAAGAGCGCTGCGTGTTGTGTGAGTGACTACGAGTGAGTTAGTAGATGTCGGTCCACAAATCACTGAGATGAAATCTTTGAAAGCTATTAAATAAACGCGGCTTGATCAGTTAACGTAATCTGTATAATTTTTGCGGTTACGTTATTTTAATTTGACTCAAAGTTTTATTACCCTTAGCTAAATATTTACTTAATTTGATATAACAAAAGAATTTGAGACAAAAAAATGAGAGAC